CCTTCATCATTGTTTCTTGTTCTTACAACTGAAGCCAAAGACTTTTCTTAGCCTCCAGAGACTAAGGACAGGCAACTGGGGAAAAAAAAATCACGAACAACTGCAGTGAGACTATTAATACGCTCAAAAGTTGTGGGTTTGACACAAACCACCATGGAGGAATGATGGAATTTACAGAGAGGGTTAAATTAACTTCTTTTTTTTCCCCCGGAGAGGAAAAAAAGCTACATTTATGTCTATCTGAAAACCTATTATAGACTTTTTGCGTCAAATGGAAAAAGTGCACTTAGGATTTGTGATTTTGATTCTGGGGTAAAAAAGCTCTGGGTAAAAAAGTGAGCTTTTTTTGTAATCATAGAGTAAGAAATTATTTTGTAATTGTACTTAATACTTACTGCAAAGTAAATTGGAAACTTTTCTCTTTCTTTTCTTCCTCCATCCCCTCTTCCTTCCTTCCTTCCTTCCTTCCTTCCTTCCTTCCTCCCGTGCTTTCTCTCTCTCCTTCCTTCCTTCCTTCCTTCCTTCCTTCCTTCCTCCTGTGCTTTCTCTCTCTCCTTCCTTCCTTCCTTCCTTCCTCCCGTGCTTTCTCTCTCTCCTTCCTTCCTTCCTTCCTTCCTTCCTTCCTTCCTTCCTTCCTTCCTTCCTTGTCTCTCCCTCTCGTTCTTTCCTTCTTTCATTGTTCCTCCTTCTCTTTCTTTCTCCCTCCCTCCCTCTCTCCCTGTGTTTCATTTTTCTACTCTTTGTAAAACCTTTAATTAACACCCCCCACACACATATTTGTTTGTTCTTCCTTTCCCACTTAAGGTCTTATGAATGACAAAGATTCTAAGGATTCTATGACTGAAGGAGAGAACCTGGAGGAGGATGAGGACGAAGAGGAAGGTGGAGTAGAGATTGAAGAACAATCTGGAAATGAAAGCGAAATAAACGAGCCAGAGGAGGAGGTGATGCTCTCTGCTCCTTAACTTTCTTAAATACAGTTGTTGTCCGACTGCTCCCAATTCACAAACAAATATCTGTTTTATATATAACTGGCTGATAACCTGGCGTTGCCCAGGTATTTATTTATAGGGAGGGGGGGGAGGATGTCCGGACCAAACGTAATTTATAATGTTGGATTTTCCCCCTTACCAGATGGCGCCCCTTGTGGAGTACTGCGAAGCCATTACCATGGCAACTCCACTGCACTGTACAATAGAAGCCATTTTATGGCAGTACTTATAGAAGCCGTTTTAAGGCACAACAGGCTGTATCCTAACAGAACACACACACATCCCGAAGGGTGTAAGGGGTGTCTTACCCCCACAGTGTTTTTTTCTCCAGAGAGTAATTCATCTGTGTACCAAGTTTGGTTGAAATTGCTCAAGGCATTCTAGAGTTATGTTGGAGAACACACACACACACACACACACACACACACACACACACACACACACACACAAACTCACTCACACAACAAAGCCATTTTATATATATAAAAACCACCCAGGATGATGATGATAATAATAATAATAATAAAACATAAACCACTCTACTTGAAACAGCTTATAACCTGTGATAATTTATTAAATAAAATATTGTCGAAGGGCAGTTTTTGAAATCCAGTTGAGAATGTCAGTAATTTTGTGATTCTGTGATCCATTGTACGCAGATTTCATTAGAATCCCATCCCTTCTGATTTTTCTGTCAGGAACAACTCAACTGAATAATTAAGCTCGGAGTGAATTTTGAAATAGCTCTGGAGCGATTGCCAAAATAAGAATAGAATAGAATAGAATAGAGGAATGGGATGGGATGAGATAGAATAGAATAGAATAAGAATATAATAGAAGAGAGGAAAGGAATGGAATAGAATAGCAGAGCTGGAAGGGACCTCGGAGGTCTTCTAGTCCAACCCCCTGCTCAAGCAGGAAACCCTATACCATTTCAGACAAATGGTTCTCCAATCTCTTCTTTAAAAACTCCAGTGTTGGAGCTCTCACAACTTCTGGAGGCAAGCTGTTCCATTGTTTAATTGTTCTCACTGTCAGGAAATTCCTCCTTGGTTCTTAGATTAAGTTCAGCAAAGCTTGTGCACAAAAGCTTTGAAGGTAATCATTGGCGCAACTCGTCCTTAAAACGAGACTTTGGGCTGTATGTTAAATCTCTTGATCTTTTCAGGAGGGCTCGGAGAATGATGACGACGAAGGAGAAGAGGAAGAGGAAGAAAATACAGATTATCTTACTGATTCTAATAAGGAGAACGAAACGGACGAAGAGAACACGGTATATATGTATATATATTTCAAAAAGGCAACACAGTGCTAAAATAGACCGCATGCAAAATTAGTTTTGGGAGGAAAAGTTAATTTTCTTTGGTTTGAAAAAAAAACACCTGGAGACACATCATATCTTATCAATAGATTTAGAGTGAAAACATCTGTACAGGTCGATGGTGTGCCATAATCATTAATCTCCAGACCTCAGGAAGCAAAAATCACAAACTTCTTTCACATCAACCTCGTACTGATGTGATTGAAAGATCAGCTATTGATCGAAGATTAGTAACTGATCTCCCCCAGGATGGATAAAAATCGATGTTTGTTTTTTTTTAAATGAGCTTTTTAAAATTTAAAATGATTTTTTAAAAATTTAAATCAGTTTTCTTTTTACCAAATTTATTTTAATAAAATGCTCTTGGAGTAAAAATCTTATCTAAAGACATTTTTTCTATTTCAGAGACATTAATAATTTAATTTATTCAGCACATTTCGTGCTTAGTTCCACAGCAATGGGCTGTACATTCTGCAATATTTACATTTTTGGAAAGCTCATTCAACGCAGCCAAGCTCTCCAAGCTGAGATAACATGCATTGCATTGATGCGTTCACACAATTTCACAGTGACCGTGCGATAAATCGTAAAACAAAGTTCAGGAATATTCCTTGATCCCCTTGTTTTGCAAACCTGTGTACACTACAAACTGTATGATTCTTTGAAGAGAAATGCATCTGTACCGCCAAGCTCTTAAGTGTGAGGAGGCAGGGCAAGCGGTAAAAATGAAAAGGAAACCACCTAAGCAGCTTATAAATATAATATTAAAGAGCGCCTGTCAATCTGTTGGCCTTTTCCACTTGGCAGAAAATACACATCAAGCAAAAAAAACCATAATGGTTCTGTTTTCTTTTTCATCCTCTTTTTTAAATATATATATATATATATCTAACAGGAAGTAATGATTAAAGGAGGTGGACTGAAACGGGTCCCCTGCGCCGAAGATGAAGATTTTATTCAGGCATTGGATAAAATGATGCTGGAAAATTTACAGGTACGGATTGATTTCTAATACAGTTGTGCAAAGTGTCGTGTTTTATGAAACTCCCCGCTTCTGGAATGGTTCCAATCTTTTGAAACTTGGCTGCGGTCGTTAAGTCAAGGACTTATCTAGGGAACGCCAATACAGGTTGTCCTCAACATACTATCTCAATGGAGAGTGGGAGGAGCCAATGTCGCAACGATACATTGTGCGGATTCGGATGTCCGAATCCGCCGATGATACTTTTGCCCCCGGACGGTCCAGCAGGACCTAAACTGTCCCGAAGAGACGGTGACTGGGAAGACATCACAAAGTCCCTGATCAACCCAAGGGGAGTGCTTCCAACCGGCAGCAAACAGGTCGCGTGACCCTGGGACATTGTGACCGTCATAAGTATGAATCAGTTGCCAAGCGTCTGAATTTTGATCATGCAGCCTCAGGGATGGAATGGTCAGAAGTCTGAAAAGCAGTCATAAGTTGATTTTTTCAGTGCTGTTGTAAGTACGAACGGTCACTAAACAAACTGTTGTAAAACGAGGAGACCCTGCAGTTCAAATCGGGCGAGCAGAGATTCAGGCTGAGTAGGAAAAAGGTTCACCAAATTCTCTCCTTTTTTCCCTCCTTTGTTTTAGAAGTAAAATTCCAGTTATGTCTTCCAGGTAACCGCTTGGCCTTCCTAGGTAACACCGCAGGTGTTAAGTTAGTAACACGGTTGTGTTAATTTGGAGTCGCCATAAATATGAGTCAGTTGCCAAGCCTCCGAATTTGGATCACGGGAATTTTCCTAAGTGTGAAAAACGGGCATAAGTCTCTTTTTTCCAGTGCCGTTTGTAACTTTGAACAGTCACTCAATGAATTGTTGTAAGGCAAGGACTACCTGTAAACTAATGGCTTCTACCGTACTGTACAGCGCTGTGGAGTTGCCATGGTAACAGCTTCATGGTACTCCACAAGGGGGCTCCCTCTGGTCAGGGGGAAAATCCAACGCTAGAAATTGTGGCAACGTTCATGGAAGGAGGGTTGTTGGGATGAATAAATACTTGGGCAGCGCCGAGTTATCACCTAGTTGAGGGTAAAAGAGCTTTTGAGCCGAATGCTGCACCCTCTTTCATGTTCTCCTGGCTTTTCAGAGGGTCTCCAACCTTGGCCACTTTAAGACTTGGGAGCTTCAACTCCCAGAATTCTCAGCCAGCAAAACTGAACATCTCCTCTTCAGAATTACCTGCCGAACCAAATTCAATGCCTTGGCAACAGGAAGGGCGTCCGGCCAGCAAAGGAACCGGCTGCTCTGAGGAACTCTGGGAGCTGAAGTCCTCCCGTCTTAAAAGCGGCCAACGGAGGAGACCTCCCTGCTCTAGATCTTTTCATGCTTCCCTTGCAGCAAAGGAGCGGAGAGTCGGTGAAAGTGCACCAGTTGGACGTGGCCATCCCTCTGCACCTCAAGAGCCAGCTGAAGAAAGGACCTCCCCTGGGGGGTGGGGAGGGGGAGTCTGAATCCGGAGACACCATGCCTTTCGTCATGCTGACCCGGAAAGGGAACAAGCAGCAGGTGAGGACACGCCCGGTTGCACTAGTGGGCCCCCTTTTTAATTCCCTGACCTTTCAGGTTAATTGCACCATGTGGATACCTGGTCTTGACCGGTGTGTGTGTGTGTGTGTGTGTGTGTGTTCCTTGGTGCTCTCTGGTTTCCTTCCTCTCATCGTTCCCCAGACTAGGTGAAGTAATCAGGGCTGCAGGGATGAAGTTACCTGCTATTATTCTGGACACGTGGCCGTCCAGTCCCTTCTGGAAAATCTCTCCTAGCTTGGTGGTTTTGTTGCAGATGTTTCATTACCTAAACTAGGTAACAACATCGGCAATGATGGTGTCACGTAGTTGGGTAATGAAATGTCTGCAAGAAAACAAGCGAGCTCAAGAGAGCACCAAGGAACCCACGCTCGTCCCTCCTCTTCCTCCTCCTCCTCCTCCTCCCCTTCTTCAACCAAGGTCAGAGAGCACCAAGGACCCTATAGTAGTAGTAGTAGTAGTAGTCGTCGTCGTCCTCCTCCTCCTCCTCCTCCTCCTCCTCCTCAACCAAGCTCAGAGAGCACCAAGGACCCTATAGTCCTCAAGAGAGCACCAAGGAACCCAAAAACTTTAGCTTAC